GATTGATTGACTGAATGGTTGATTGATTGCTTTGATTGATTGATTGACCAATTGATCGATTCAATCAATCAATCAATAGGTCCACCCACGGCAGGGGGAGTCGGAAGGCAACGGGAGCGGGGGTTCAGTGGGACAGGGTGAGCCAGAAGGAGTGGGAGAAGGAGAGCGAGTGGCAGTGGGAATCAAGGAGGTGGCAGAAGCAGGGGACATAGCAGGCCGCACGCATGTGTGTCTCTGGGTGCATGTCTACGTGCATGTGTATGTGCGTGCGTGTGTGTGTGTGCGTGTGTGCGTGTGTGCGTGTGTGTGTGTGTGTGTGCTACCGTGTGTACATTTGTGTGCATGTTTGTGCTTCTCCGCGTGTATGTGTGTGTGTGTGTGTGTATGTGTGTTTGTGTGTGTGTGTGAGTGTGATAGAGGGCAGTATTGCTCCATCTTCATAAAGTTGCGAAAAATGTACTGACAATTGATATCTGTGTCATTTGTTTTCTTCTTCCATGTACAGTCGACCACTTTCATTTTAGCAACCATGTCGGACACTGGTGCAAAGCCAATGTGAATCCTAGAAAATACAAAGAGCTGACTGATGCGAACATGTCCATTTGCGAGCAAAGGTTTAAATGGTTTTCCAAATTCAAGCACAACATGAGGTACGGTAACAAAAACGTTATCCTTGTCTCCTGCGAGTATAACTTGTACAATTCACACATGAGGTACAAATATCCCTTATCTTCTTTAAGCAAATAGCGGTCCTCGTGTGACGGTCCGACGCGAGGCTGAAATGCCAGTGTTGGGAAAGGAGGCGGGTACCGAAGGCAGGCCAAGTTCAAACTGCCCCGTCGAAACTATTCGGGTAGGAAAAATCGCGTGCTCCACTGTCCATCGGAAACCATTCGGCCAGGCAGAATTGCGCGTCTCGCCGTGGTTAATGAGAAGCTTCGGTCTGGGAATGTGGAAACGCGGCATCGGAAAGCTTCGGTCCGCGAGGCGTGAAGGGCGTGGCTGCGTCGTCGCTAAGGCCTGTGCAAAATGAGAGTTAATCTTTGGTTAGAACATGGAAAGATACACGATGACTATTTTTATCATTTGTGCATGTCATGAGATGTCAAGTGAGGCCCTGTGTGATTCTGTTTTTCGAAGCCAGAAACTTTAGGGGCACATAGATACACTGCGTTGTTTTTTTGTTTTTGTTTTTTTCGTAGTAGATTCATTCGCACGAGGACAGGGAGGGAGAGGGGAGGGGGGATGACATCGATGACGGGGAGGAGGATGGCGAGGACAGAGAGGGCGAGGGGAGGTGGGAGGCGGTCTACGACAGGGAAGAGGAGGAGAAGGGGAAGGTAGCCCAAGAGTAGCGTCACAAAGGAGAAGGGGTGGTGTTTAGGGAGGAGTGGGGGCGGAGGGGTGCAAGACAATGACATGGAGCAGGATGTGGAGGATGATGGGCAGGAGGAGGATGATGACGGGGACGAGGAGGAGGAGGGTGACGGGGAGGAGAAGGGACGAACGACATGGTACAGCACCGCATGGATCCAACATGAAGGGAGGAGGAGGAAGGGGAGGAGGAGCAGGGCCCGAGGGTCGAGAACGATGACATGAAGGAGGATGTGGAGAATGGTGACGGAAAGCAGGATGCCGAGGCCGATGACAGGCAGGAGGAGGAAGGGGAGGAGGAGGAAGGGGAGGAGGAGCACGGCCCGGGGTTCGAGGACGATGACATGAAGGAGGATGTGGAGAATGGTGACGGAAAGCAAGATGCCGAGGCCGATGACAGGCAGGAGGAGGAAGGGGAGGAGGAGGAAGGGGAGGAGGAGCACGGCCCGGGGTTCGAGGACGATGACATGAAGGAGGATGTGGAGAATGGTGACGGAAAGCAAGATGCCGAGGCCGATGACAGGGAGGAGGAGGAGGATCACGAGGAGGGGGAAGGAGGGGGGGGAAGTAGCCCAGGAGGGGCATAGCAGAGGGGAAGGGAGCCAAAGAAGAGCGCATGGAGTGGTGGCAGGGAGGTCGGGGTGGGATAAGGGCGATGAGGGGGAGGAGGATGGTGACGGGGAGGGAGAGGGCTCACAAGGAGGGGAGAGTGGTCACAAGGAGGGAGAGGGGAAGGTGGTCGAAAAGAGGCGTGTCCAAGAGGAGGCATGGAAGCGAGAAAGGGGAAGAGATCGAAGTAGGGGGGAACATGACGACTGCAGAATATGAGCGTGGCGGAGCAGTGGGGGTGGCGTTTGGTGGTCTTCTTTTCTTTTTCATTTGTTTTTTTTTTGCCTTTTTTTTCTTTTTTGATCTCCTCTGGGCAGGTAGACAATGACGAGGACAAGGATGCAGAGGAGCGTGGTGGAGCAGAGGTGGGAATTTTTGTGTTAGTGCTCGCGATCGTCTTTATATTTTATCAGTTAACTAACTCATGAATTATTTTCCTCGCCACTTATCATTGCAGATACATGAACAAGGACAGATTCAATTTCTTACTCCTTGTAATATGCCAAATAGACCACGAGAAAAAAAACAACTCCAATTTTCATAAAATCAAGGACCGCGCACCATTCAAAAGACGAAAGCTTCTGCTTTCCTCGTAACTCTTTGGTAAGTTGCATAAAGTTTGTTTCTTTGTCTCGTGGTTACCTCTACCTCTTTTTTTTTTTTTTTTTTTTCTCTTGATGTATCAAACTTTTTCCTTGCTTTCTTCCTCTCTCCTGTATTCCCACTTTTGTCTTATCTCTCTCAATCCTTTTTTCTTTCGTTCTTTATCCCTTCCTTCCTTCCTCCCTTCCTCCCCCCCTCCTCCCTCCCTGCCTCTCCCCTCCAACCAAAATGAAGGGGGCACGTGGAGAACCAAAGGTGGAGAGGAGGTACTCAAAGTCCTACAGATGCATAAGGACTAGATAGGGACTGAGGAAGCCAACAAGGGCGAGAAAAAGAGATACTTTGCTTTGATTTTCATCACAGGTACAATTGAGGGCAATGGTTGGTGCCTACATCAGGGTATCACTCAGCTCTGATGTGGGTGACTGATATTCTGCTTTGATTTTCATCACAGGTACACTTGAGGGCAATGGTTGGTGCCAACATGGGTATCAGTTGTCCGCCAGACAATGCTCAACTTAAACTGGGGTCGATGCTTGGTGCTTACATGCTACATGCTTGGTGCTTTGTGCTACGCGCTTGGTGCTCGGTGCTTCGTGAATTATACGTGCTTGGTGGTTGGTGCTTGGTGCTTCGAGGTCGGTGCTCGGTGCTTCATGAATTATATGTGCTTGGTGCTTTGTGCTCGGTGCTCGGTGGTACATACTCGGTGCTCAGTGCTAGGTGGTCGGTGTTTCGCGAACTCGGTGCTCGGTGCTACGTGCTTGGTACTTCGTACCATGTGCTTGGTGCTACATGCTTGGTGCTTCATGCTACGTGCTCGGTTCTCGGTGCTCAATGCTGCTCGGTGCTTGGTGCTGCTCGGTGCTCGGTGCTGCTCAGTGCTTGGTGCTTTTGTGCTCGGTGCTTCGTGAATTTGTTACTCTACGGAGTGTTTGCTGCAATGCGAGATTTGTGCTACATGAATTTTGAAGCATGCAACATGAGCTTCGACAACGTGGCTGCTTAATCATTTCCTTATCATGTTTCGGTCTTTTGTGTACTTGTGTGTGACACTCTGTGTGTGTGTGTGTGTGTGTGTGTGTGTGTGTGTG